CTGTTAATCTAGTAACACTGGCAAGAAAGGAAAGTCACTCGGTCATTTATTTTATAAATATATCTTAAGGATTTACTAATGTGAGGTACTGTGATAGACATATAGGATTAGATACACAATAGTGAACAAAACAGGGTCCTTGTCTTTGTGGAGCTCGCCATTTACACGGGTAGACAGACACTAAGGCAATAAATATATAATTCTAATAGGGTCTATAAAGGAAAAGAAGAGAATGTTGTGATAGAAAAATGAATGACCAGGGAAAGCCTGTCTTTAAGGAGGTAAAGTGGAAGCTACAACCCAAAAGACATGAAAGAACCACACACGTTGTGGAGAATGGGGAAGAATATCCTAGGCTGAGAAAAGGATACCTGCAAGAGGCCTGGAGGCAAGGAAGAGCTGACAACTTGGGGAAATGAATCACGTGATGAACCATTGCAGGCTTCTGGGGATCACTGCTTTTTAATCTCATTGTTCATAAATCATTCTTTAGTAACTATTCTATAAATTTAGTAAGAATTAATAATCTTAGCTTTTTTGGTTTCCAGAATTCACCATCTAGAATTTTCCTGTTTGAAAATGTGGATATTTGCAATATTGTAAGTTCTCAGATTACTTACAGGGGACACAAGTTCAGTTACATAATATTTCTGATTTCCGGAATACTGTATGTTCAGACCCAGAATCTTGAACTCATTTAAAATGCCAAGAATCCTGTCATTTTCATCATTAATGTACTTAAGCAAAATGGATTTTTCAAAATCTTTATATTATCTCATTTCTTTGTGTTTTCATCCAAGCTTTAGCTACTTATACATGTTTTTACCTAGTCAAAATAATGTAATTATCATCACGGCAGGTGGTAGCTTGTTTACATAGATAATTCATGAGAATCAGCTTAAAAATTATTACCAGCATGTTTAATGAACTCATCCTAAGAGTTCCAGTTCAAATGCTAGCCTTATCTGATTCTCTCAGGCATAGTTACTCAGACAGTACTTTGTATACCTCCAGAATAGGAATTTCTTATTTTATGGTAATTATCTGCATATTAGTTTCTCCTCCCCAAAGACTAAGTCGTTTCATCTTTGTTAACCAAATCCTTTGGCACCCCCAATCCTTGTCCAGATCTTAGTAGCTAGTAGGTAGAGATGAAGTCACATTAATAGTTAAACTCAAAATCCATAGTTCCAGTGTCCCTATGAGTGATAACAATATCTCAGAGGGTCCTGTGCACACCTCAGCCCATTCAAGGAAGGGGCGGTTGTCTCATATGTGTTCCTGCAGTTCTACTCTGCTTAATTCAGAACGACCAGGCTCTCCTTGTGTTTTCAGAGGCCAGGCGCGGTGGCTCAAGCCTATAATCGTAGCACTCTGGAAGGCCGAGGCGGGTGGATTGCTTGAGCTCAGGAATTCGAGACCCGCCTGAGCAAGAGCGAGACCCCATCTCTACTAAAAATAGAAAGAAATTAGCTGGACGATTAAAATATATATATAGAAAAAAAAATTAGCCGGGCATGGTGGTGCGTGCCTGTTGTCCCAGCTACCCGGGAGGCTGAGACAGGAGGATCACTTGAGCCCAGGAGTTTGAGGTTGCTGTGAGCTAGGCTGACGCCACGGCACTCTAGCCTGGGCAACAGAGTGAGACTCTCTCTCAAAAAAAAAAAACCAGGTTCATTACTGATCACTATCTGCCATTTTTGGGCTATCAGTAGTCCCCTGCTCCTAACCCAGACTCCTCAGATCCCAGCTGCTAATTTCACATTGGCCTAGAGATGGTAGAAAGGCATATCAGTTGGTTAAGTATGTGACCTCTAGAGCGAGACTGTGTCTTGGGTTGAATTCCAGGTCTACCTTTTAACTGCTGCATGATAGGACTTTCTTTCATGGAACCTCACTGCTTCAGTTTCTTCAAATGTAAATGATAGTGAAGAGTTCCTACCCTAAGGTTGTTGCCAACTTAAAGGACCTAATGTTTCTAAAATGCTTAGGACAGTGCCTAGCATGTAATAAACACTGTATAAATGTTAGTTTAATGTTTTCATTCTCTTTACCAAATGATTTTAAGTGTGAACCCAATTTTCCATAGCATAACAGAGACCAAGCTATAATTTACAATGATTCTTTGTTGAAGTCTCCAGGATAATTAAAGGCAATAACAAGAAAGAAAAAATTCCAAAACTGCCTACTTATCTACATTGATCCTCTATAGGGTAGTTTCCTCCCTGTAAGTAGAGCCAGCATTCCTTTCACCATTCTGAGGTATCTTCCAGCATATTAGAGTGTAGACCAATGCCTTAAATACCAGAGAGGAAAAATTTCTCTTTTTTCCCCCCCAATCCAAAATCTTTTTCTCCAATTCAATATTGGTTTCTCCTTCTGTCCCAGGAGCTGCTTTTTCCCACGATGACTGACAATAGGAATTTCAGCTACTTTCAGGGTCTCTCCCATGTACACAATGTACCTAACCATACTATCCCATCAAAACAATAGTCTGCCATCAGTGCATTTCCTAGAATTGAGCTATTCAATCAATCCTGTCCAATTTCTTTTTATAGCTGTTTTAGGATAATTTCCATGAGAACAGGGACTCTGCCTGTCTCATGCACTACTGGATTTCCAATGCCTGGAACAAATTAGGAACTCCATGAAGCATGAGTTCCTCTGCAAAAAGGTGAGGCTCAGGCCTACATACTTTCCTTCAGTCTCCTCAATTTTAATTTCTGATCTCTTGTGTGAATTATTTAAGCAAGAATAAGCTAAGTCCATAATTTAAAAATAAACATTTCTCTAAAAGAGATATAGTCTACAGAGAAGCAACTATACTACCTATAATAGAGACAGCCCTTTGCATAATCATACATATTATGAGCTTTGCTTTACTAAGTGGTTTAATAAGGTGATTTTCCAAAACGATGAAACAAAACAACATGCAGCTTTAAAAAGACAGCTTTTCTGGTGCTTACCTTACGTATCGAGATATTCATTTATTTTAAAAATATTGATTGAACACTTAGTCTGTGCCAGGTACTATATTAGGTTTTAGAAATATAGCATTGAACAAGATAGATACACAATCCCTACCTTCATTGAGCTTCCAGGCTATCAAAACAATTAATAAAGTGTGATGAGTGATTATCACAGGGGAAGTATTCTCAGGGATAGAGGTCTTCTGCCTGCACTTGAACAAGAGCAGCTCTGAATTTGATCACTTTTGTATTTTGAGACTCCAAGTAAGATTTTATTTGTAAACCTAGCTTCACTGCTACATAAAAGTTTGAAAACTACTGCCCTTTATCTAATTTATCTTTCATCCTGAAAGGCTATTATATGAACAAGTGAAAGGACACTGCATATATAGTTAAACCAACTATATAAGCATATTATCCTCTTTTTATAGGTGAGAAAATGCAGTTCACAGAGTTAACGTAACTCTCTAAAGTCTTATGAAAATTAAATTGTAAAGCCTCATTCCAAATCTCTGCTCTCTGTACCACACCACAGTGCCTACATACAAAATGGAATAAATCTCTATTTCCCTTAAGAGAGAAATATCTAGTGAGAAATACAGCAAAGCTTTGCCTTAGCTTTATCTATTGTCCAATATTTTAATATGCTAATAAAAGACAAAAACCACACTATCATTTCAATCAACACAGAAAAAGCATATGAAAAAAAATTCCAACATCCATTTATGATAAAAACCTTCAACACACTAGAAATAGAAGGGAACTTCTTCGACCTGATAAAGTACAACAATGAAAAACCTACATCATACTTAATGGAGAAAGACTGACTGATCTTCCCCCTAAAATCAGAACAAGACAAGGATGTCTGCTTGCAATGCTTTTACTCAATACAGTACTGGAAATTTCAGCCTGGGCAATTAGACAAGATATAACATGCTTATCAAATTTGTAGATGGACCATAGAATGTGATGATTGCTAGAACCAGATCCAAAATTACTGCCACAGACTAGAATGATTCACTAAATAAACAAAATATTTAAATTAAAGCCAAAATTAAGGTGTTTAGGTTTGAAAACCAACAGGAAGATACAAAATTTTGCAAAAGGATTACTGGGTACCTACTATGTGCCATCCACTGGGGATAGAGAGACATGATTCTGAGGACTAAACTCTGATCTTTTTCTTTTGCCCAAATTCCTTTCTAAGGGGACCTGGTGAGTCAAGCCTACAAATGATAAAATCTCACTAAACAGGTTTTGTTAACCTAATATAATGTGGTTTACTTCCCAACCTGATTCTGGTATAGCATCACAGGAAAGATAGAAGACTCTTATCTTAACTCAAGCATTCTTTTCAGCTGACTCCTGGTCTTTTAGGCAAAGCTTTACCCTTTCAGCCAACTGTCAACTAAAGAATCTCTAAACCCACCTATGACTTGTAAGCTCCTGCTTTGAGATGGCCCAACTTTTTGGGCCAAACCAATACAGGCCTTCCATGTATTGATTTATGACTTCACCATAATTCCTCTCTCCCTGAAATGTATAAAACCAAACTGTAACCCAACAACAGCCAGTCCACTCCCTCAAGGCTTCTTGGGCATGGCTCTGGCCATGGTCCTCAAATTTGACTCAGAATAAACCTCTTTAAATTATTTTACAGAGTTTGGCTTCTTTTTTGTTGCCAATTCCTTCCTAGATGAGTTAATTCCAGACCAAAAAAAAATGTTAGGACTTAGTGAATGGCTAGCCTAAAGCAAATCTTCCCATACCCTCTGAACTCTTTTGGCATTTATTAAGAATTGTCTAATTTAATTGTGTTAATTGTTCAGAGAAGAGACTGCATATTTTTATTTGACTCTGGATGGTTTCTAATAATTATAAGGAGTGAAACACTCTTCTATTGGATAACTGCTACCTCAGCCGAACTATATATAAGCTAAGAAAGCTGCTTCGAAGAGGAAACACACAAATCGCGCGTTTTTGGAGGACACTGCCTTGAAGAGTGCCTAGAACAGCCTGAAATTCTAACAACTCTCCAAGTTTGGGAAGGTGTCCGGAAGGGTTTTCTGAGATTACTTCTCTGAGCATGAACGGAAGTCACCCTTTGAGCCTTCTGCGGGGATTTTAATGATAGGTGCCATATTCAGGACAGAGTAACCTATTTCCATTCTGTTCTTCCCGCTGCACCCTCAAGCGGGTTACCTGCTGACAAGAAAATAAAGACAGCATTCAGAGAAGTCTTAAGGCAACCTTACGCCTCATCTTCCCATAGTAAAGATGGCGGCGCGCTGAGTGCAAACTGCCGGCAACACCACTTCCGTGTTTCTCTTGTGCTTTGGTCCAAGATGGCGGACGAAGCCACTCGGCGTGTGGTGTCTGAGATCCCGGTGCTGAAGACTAACGCTGGACCCCGAGATCGGGAGTTGTGGGTGCAGCGACTGAAGGAGGAATATCAATCTCTTATCCGGGTCAGTCGTTCTTCTACGGCCGAACGCATCTCAGAGGTTGCGGGTAATTAAGTGTCCTCAATAATAGGCTCCGTGTGGAAGCCGCTTCCGGTTTTTCAGTTTATCTCCCAATTTCATAGAAATGGGACGTTTGCGGGGCTGGGGGAGTAACGAGGATGGTGGGGAGGGGGCAGAAGAAACTCAGGTTTCTTGGGGCCAGAACTTGTGACTAAAAGCGGCAGTTAATTTAGGGATACGCCTCCCCAGAAGGCGACGTGTCTCTCCGGTTCCAGGTGTTTGCTCTCCTGGATGTAGGAGAGGTGGCCCAAAGTACTTCTTGGGGGCCTTAAGTCCCAGTCCGCATTTCTCTGCTCCCTCCTTTATGCTTCCCGAGGTAAGAAGGCACGTTAGGACTGAAAATTCAAGTAGGTGTTAGTTGCAGAGGGTTGTGGAGCTGGGCTTGTTAGAAACAGGCCATCTTCTCAGCTAATCTCTCTATTGTAAAAGACAAGAAAATTTTTGTCTTCTTTGCATGGTCTCTGTCAGCTTCAAAGACCAGCAGTTCCACCGCATGTATTCATTCACTAAAAAGACACTTAGTGTGCATCTAGAACCTAGGGAGGGGATACAAAGCCAAATAAGGTGGAGCCTACTAAGGTAGACAAAAACAGATCCTTATAATACAGTGTTTAAGTGCAGAGAGACAGATATATAGAAAGAAATGGCTTGGATGTTTTGAGAGCATAAGCAGAGAGACCATATCCAGCTTGGGTTTGGTCAGGGAAGGCTTCCTGGAAGAGGTAATGCTTGAACTGAAACTTGAACAGTAAATATAAGTTAGCCTGATAAAACATAAGAGTAGGAGAAAGACATTCAAGGTAAAAGGGACAGCATGAGCAAGGGCATAGAAGCTAGAAATGGCAGATGTATATGAAGAAACAAATAGTTCAGAGTTGTTAAGAGCATCAAATGTGAGGCAGGGAGTGGTAGACAAGGCTCGGGAGATAGGTTTGAGCACTTGAATTTTATCTTGGGGGCACTGGTATGCCTTTAAAGGATTTTAAGCTGAGGAATAGATTTAGTGACAGTAGAGAGGAAAATACAATTGACAGGGATAAGATTGAAGGTAGAAGAAGAGTTAGGAAGCAGTCATTAATCCAAGCAAAAGAAAGATGTTCTAAACTAGACAGTTGTGGTGAAGATAGAGAAGTAGAATAGAATATTCAGAAGGTGAAATCAGCATGACATCATGGATTGGTGGAGTAAACGATGGGGAAGGTCAAGGATGATTCCTAGGTTTTGGGCTTGCGTGGATGCTGACACTGCCACCTGAGATTGAGAATTCAGCAAGAGAAACAGGTCTGAAGGAATATTATAAAGTCCAGGTAGAAATGCTGAATTTGAGGTGCCTGTGAAATGAAGGTAGATATTTCAACATCTAGTTGGATACTGGAGTCTGAAGCTCTGAGGAAAGGTCAGGAATAAAGATAAAGATTTGGAAATCATCAGTATGTGGGTGCTAGTCAAAACCAGGACTATATGAGGCTGGAAGGGAGGGAGTCACCCAGGGTAGGCGTATACCCTGAAATGAGTTATCAGCTGAGGGCAGACACTATCAAGAGTGAGAAGAGAGCCTTGGGTGATATCTTCAAGTCTTTTGTGTTTGCTAAATTAAGTGGAACACGAGCATTCTATTTTTTGCTCTAGGCAAGCCCCCTACTTACCAGTGTAGCCTTGTCTTCAACTTTGCTTATGTCAGAAAAATCAGGTAAACATACTAACAGAAAGTAACCACACACGTTTCTTTTGAGGGGAGGGGGACTGCCTTTGGCCTTTGGCCCTAACTGCCCCCTCAAAGACTTCTTTCTCTGCTTTTAGTATGTGGAGAACAACAAGAATGCAGACAATGATTGGTTCCGACTGGAGTCCAACAAGGAAGGGACTCGGTAAGCAGACCCTCTTGGGAGGTGTGGGGTGGGAGTCTATGTGACTTAAGCAATTTGGTATCCCAATGCCCATTGCCAGAGCTGCCCTGCCTCATGTTATCTATCTCTACTCCCACAGCTCCAGAATTCCCCAGTTCCCATCCCATGAGTCTCCCAGGCTGCTGGCCTAAGCCAAGATGTCATTTGAGTATAAGAAGAATGGGCAAATTGGACTGAGGTTTGGTCTTTGTTACAGGTGGTTTGGAAAATGCTGGTACATCCATGACCTCCTCAAATATGAGTTTGACATCGAGTTTGACGTGAGTGTGATGGAGTGGGAAATAAGAAGGTTAGTAGAAGGGGAGGTATTAGGTGATTGTTAATAAGCTAACCTTTCTTGGAGGGACCAAAGAAAACTTTTAAAATGGGAGGGAAAAGCTGAAATTTCAAGGAAGCATAAATTACAGTTACTCCTTTCCATGTCCAGAATCCTGGTATGTACATGCTGCTGGAGGAGTTCGCTGAATATTTCAGTTCAACCAAGATATATGTATGTCTAATTAGATTAGTTCCTTTCTGTCTTGATTTTCTGTTATATTAAGGCTTTATAATTCCTCCAGATTCCTATCACATATCCTACTACTGCTCCAGAAATTGCAGTCCCTGAACTGGATGGAAAGACAGCAAAGATGTACAGGTAGGACTGAATAGGAGATGGGAAAGGGTCAAAGAAGACCTTAGGGAAGAACTCAGGAGGCAGAAGATTTTCCCAGAGTCCGCTGGCCTACAGGGGCTCCAGGCCTCCTTCTGCCAAGCCTAGACAAAGTACTTAGTTGACCTTGTCCTCAATTCTGATCACTGATAGTCTTCTTGTGCTCCCAAGTGGTGGTTATGTTTTATGGTAAACTTTGCATGTGAATACCTTCCTCTTGTCCCTCTCATAGGGGTGGCAAAATATGCCTGACTGATCACTTCAAACCTTTGTGGGCCAGGAACGTGCCCAAGTTTGGACTAGCTCATCTCATGGCTCTGGGGGTAAGTTGGTGTATTTGGTATAAAAGGGGGAGGGGGAGGGGCTTAGGCCCCGAGCAGTACAAGATACTACCTGAGAGTAAACAAGAAATAAAAGTGTTGTCCCTTGGGCATGTTCCCTCAGAATCTCTCTCTAGGGAGGAGCTTCTGATGGAACAAAAGGCATTGACTGGATGTTAGTAATTTCACAGGGTCTCCCTTGTGTTGCAGCTGGGTCCATGGCTGGCAGTGGAAATCCCTGATCTGATTCAGAAGGGCGTGATCCAGCACAAAGAGAAATGCAGCCAATGAAGGATCAAGCCACTGAGGCAGGGCAGAGGGACCTTTGATAGGCTACATTCCTGTTTTCCTGTGCATCTTATCTGCTTCCCTCCACCCTTAGTTGTTACTAAGTAGCTACAGAAGGCATTGCTGGAAAGAAAAACAACAACAACAACAAAACCACCCAACAGTATTGCTACTGAGTTTCTAAGGCTGCACAGGAAAGAGAAGGACTGGGCCTTGGAAACCAAGAGGCAATTTGTATCCTCTCCCCAGGTGGAGCTATGTGAGATCTGGAGGCATAGGGGGTAACTGAAAGTGAGTACATAGCCTTTCTGGTTTCTGGAGATAACCCATCAATAAAAGCTGCTTCCTCTGCTAGCCTGTGATTCTCATTGGTGACTGTTAACAGAGGATGAGCAGGCCAAAACCTGAGGCACATCAACAGGTATGCTACATTGGGAGGGAGGAGGGGAAATGGAGGATGCTCTGGTGAGGAGCTGGGGAATGAAAGGAAATGTGACTGTTCTCCTTGCTGCTGAGATCTGCCTTTGTCCTTCAGTGGTGAGCCATGCTTCACCCTACTGCTTTGGTCTGCAAGGAGCTTGAGGAATGGTTTTGCAGGGCCAGCATTCCCCGCCCTCCAGGGATCTTCCCATCCTTATGTGAAGTGCTAGATTCTTCTCCACTGGTCTGCAGGCTGGACGGAGGCTTGCAGCTTGCCACACTGGCACCCTTGCTGTCTGGGTAGGATCTATGCTGCAAGCCTGGAGCTGTACTACGATTGTCAGATCTACATCCCTATGAGCCACAGGATAGGGCGACGGTACTCTATACCTCAGAGACTTGCTATGGAGCCATGGTTTAAAGATCACTCTGGGCAGGTCTGAGAACTAGCGGTCCTAAAGTTGGCTGCGTTTCCATGGTGCCGGCCGCGGCGCCGTGAAGGCGGGCTCACACAAGAGCTACGGGAGTGGGTGGGAGGAGTTCGATGTGGGTGCGCAGGCGCTTTGAGAGACGGTGAAGCCGGTGGCCGGTGCCCGGGCGGGACCAACAAAGATGGCGGCGGCCCCTGCGGCGGGAGCGATCTGGGAAACAGCTGCAGCTGAAGCTGCAGCCAGGCCCGCGGGGGGGCTGCACAGGGGCAGTAGGGGGTGGCCCTGAGCTGGGGCCTGGCCCCCAGCTGGCCTCCCCCGCCGCCTCACCGGGGGACAGGTACGGGCCGGGGCATTATGGCATGGGGAGGTGGGGGTGCTGAGGGAAGACTGCTCCAGACCTGAGAGGACACTCTCCACAAAGGCAGAGGCGCTGGGGGCCCGGCAGGGCCTGGGAGAACTGGGCTGGAGGGACAGCATCCCCGGACCGCTGGGAATACGGCGTCGGATCCCGTAGCCAATCAGCGGCTTCGGCCTTTCTGCCCTCGAGGGGGGCGGATCCGGCTAAAGCCTTGCTGTGGTGGGAGAAGTGCAGAGATTAGGGGTCAAGGAGTTGTTCGTCCTCCATCCCCGACCGCTGCTCCCTTAGCCCTGACACTATGTCGGAGCTCGGAGGTGGGGGAGGGAATGGATCACAAGTCACCCATTTAGTCTGCTTCATTTGCAGCCCGGAGGGGCAGGGGTGTGAGGATGGAATGTTGTCTTTTGGGCTATTATCCTTGCATCCACACTGCCATTTGACCAGAGGTCCTAAGTGACCCAGGGTGCATCCCACTTGACTAGCCAGGTATGGGGGCCCTTGCTATGAGTTTATAAAGATAGCCGAGATAGGAATTATAACTGGCTTTTCAGTAAAGGTGTATTCTGCAGGGAGGAGGTGGGAGAATATATATAAAGGGTCAAAGGGTTGCTATCATTCATTCGTTTGCTCAACAGATATTAAGTAGTTACTTTGTGCCAAACACTATGCTGGGTACTAGGGATACAATGACTGATTTGATAGACCTGGTTCCTGCCCTCAGTGCATGTAAAAGCTAGTATGGTAGCTTAGGTTCCCATCTCCCTCCTTACTCAAATGCTGATTCTCTCTTCTCCTCCCAGGTCCAGCCTGTGGTGTCCACAATGCCCCAGGCCTCTGAGCACCGCCTGGGCCGGACCCGAGAGCCACCTGTTACTGTCCAGCCCCGAGTGGGATCCAAGCTACCATTTGCTCCCAGGGCCCGCAGCAAGGAGCGCCGCAACCCAGCCCCTGGGCCAAACCCCATGTTACGACCTCTGCCTCCCCGGCCAGGTCCCCCTGATGAACGGCTCAAGAAACTGGAGCTGGGACGGGGACGGACCTCAGGCCCTCGTCCCAGAGGCCCCCTTCGGGCGGATCATGGGGTTCCCCTGCCTGGCTCACCACCCCCAGCTGTGGCTCTGCCTCTCCCGTCCCGGAGCAACTTAGCCCGGTCCAAGTCTGTGAGCAGTGGGGACTTGCGTCCAATGGGGATTGCCTTGGGAGGGCACCGTGGCACTGGAGAGCTGGGGGCTGCACTGAGCCGCTTGGCCCTCCGGCCTGAGCCACCCCCTTTGAGACGTAGCACTTCTCTCCGCCGCCTCGGGGGCTTTCCTGGACCTCCCACCTTGCTCAGCATACGGACAGAGCCCCCTACGTCCCATGGCTCCTTCCACATGATATCTGCCCGGTCCTCTGAGCCTTTCTACTCTGATGACAAGATGGTGAGGATTTGCCAGGACTTGCCAGGCTTCCATGCCCATGTTCCTGTATGCTTTCTTGCCATCCTATGGCTTTCCTCTCCCCCTTTTCTCCAGGTTCCTTTCTTAAGCCCTCATTACTGCAGTTTGGACTCTCTCCTCTCCCTTACTTAAGTACCCTTGAGTCTCCAAGACCCTTTTCTGGATTGTCTGTGACTCTTTAGCATGGTGTGCCCTTTTTGTCCCCAGGGAATTAGCCCAACTATTTAGAATTCTTCTTTGGGTCCCCAGGCCCTTCCTTTCCCTTGCTGTACCTTCTCTCCTAGGACTCTGCCTAGGTCTAATTAATCTCTGGAGCTGAAGAGGGGCGGGTTCAGAACATCTGAGCTAATGTGGTTGCCGAGTTCCTGAGCTAAGTGAGCTAGGCCGATTGCAGTTGGAGCCTGCCGGAGAGGGTGCAGGAAGGGGCCACGGGGGCAGGAGGGGGCTTTGGGGGCAGCAGGGTGGGGGTGGGGAACAGCTGGGCAACCATGCCAGTGCTTGGGGAGTTGCCCCAGGAGCTGCAACGTCGACTAGCTTGGCAGAGGAGTAAGTGGGGAACATGTGGGACAGCCATGGCTGAGTCCGTGGTACACTCAGCTGTGATGGGCTTACTGCTCATGACCAGTGAGGTAGGGAGACCAGAATACCCAGTGAGGGGAAGAGGGTAGAGTTTGGGGGTGAAGCACATATGGGGTGGGGGAGGCAGTGAGCAGCATGCTGTTGAAAGGTTAAAGTGCCCATATAAAGAGATATATGGGAACTTGCTGATTGTACTCTGACCTTCCAGGCTCATCACACACTGCTTCTGGGTTCTGGTCATGTTGGCCTCCGAAATCTGGGAAACACGGTGAGAGCCATTCTCCTGTCCTTCTTTTCTAAAAGGCATGTGAAATGGTGCTGGGGGTGGAGAGGACCTGCAGGCTTGGGGAAGGCGTGTAGAAAGAGTAGACTGAAGCTCTTCTAAGGCTTCCTGGCCACTGGTCTGGAGAGATAAACACCAGTGTCCCTACTGCTCCTCAGTGCTTCCTGAATGCTGTGCTACAGTGTTTGAGCAGCACTCGGCCCCTTCGGGACTTTTGTCTGAGAAGGGACTTTCGGCAAGAGGTGCCTGGAGGAGGCCGAGCTCAAGAACTCACTGAAGGTGGGCTACCAACTTCTGCTCCCTCCATTCAAGTCCCTTTTTCCCCAACGACTTGGAGGTCCATCTGTCAGTGTTGGTGGCACCCAACCCTTAAATGTGGCAGTTGTATCCATTTTTCCCAGTGCCTACTTTCCTAGAGGTGGTTTTCTACGCTCTGAGCCACCTCTTGCGTGCCTCTTCAAGACATTAACCTTTGTTTCCCTTACCCACTCCCACTCCAACAGCCTTTGCAGATGTGATTGGTGCCCTCTGGCACCCTGACTCCTGCGAAGCTGTGAATCCTACCCGATTCCGAGCTGTCTTCCAGAAATATGTTCCTTCCTTCTCTGGATACAGGTGGGAGAGCTGGAGGGTATGGGATTTCTCAGGGGTTGGTTCTGGGAGTAGGGCCAAGCAAGGGCCCAGGCAGCATTGTTCTGAGCCTCGAGATGTTCTTCATTCAAGAAGTGGGGACCACTCTGGGAGGCCGAGGCGGGCGGATTGTTTGAGCTCAGGAGTTCGAAACCACCCTGAGCAAGAGCGAGACCCCGTCTCTACTAAAAATAGAAAGAAATTAATCGGACAGCTAAAAATATATAGAAAAAATTAGCTGGGCATGGTGGCACATGCCTGTAGTCCCAGCTACTCGGGAGGCTGAGGCAGGAGGATCGCTTGAGCCCAGGAGTTTGAGGTTGCTGTGAGCGAGGATGACGCCATGGCACTCTAGCCCAGGCAACAGAGTGAGACTCTGTCTCAAAAAAAAAAAAAAAAAAGAAGTGGGGACCAATATCCGGGTAGGGGGTAGTATCTGTGGACAAAGCAGGGTCAGTTACTCATACTCTCTGTCTGGCTGTAGCCAGCAGGATGCCCAAGAGTTCCTGAAGCTCCTTATGGAGCGGCTACACCTTGAAATCAACCGACGAGGCCGCCGGGCTCCACCAATCCTTGCCAATGGCCCAGCTCCTGCTCCACCTCGCCGAGGAGGGGCTCTGCTAGAAGAACCTGAGTTAAGGTAAGGGTTGCTCCCCCTACCTCCTCTCCCAAGTAGTGTATCAGCAGCGTTTATACTTCACAGAACTGAGCTAGTTAAGATTGAGGATGTAGGGTCCAGGGAAACCCTTTAGTATAGAAAATGGTTTGAGAAGCAGTGTGGAAGTAGAAGGAAGGAAAGGAGGAGGAAGAGGGAGGCTAAGGGGAGCAGATGGAGGCAGAATTTGACAGTACAAAGATTTCCCAGAATCCTCATGCTCCATATTCTACGGATGTCATTAAATCCAGGGAAGAAGGGAAAAATTAATTCACAGGTGGAGGAAGACAGCATGTTCTTCCCGTGTATATTCCTTTCTTTTCCTCTCACCTTGTATTTCCCCAGAAAGTTCCCTAAAGCATTATTCTTTTGACTTTTCATTGAAATTTAGGGGAAGAGCTGGGGTGCGGGTGGGGTACAGGGCTCTGTGGATCATTTCAGTGGGTGTTGGGGGTGCCCAGTGTTCCTGCTGTCTCACGAGTGCTCCCCGCTTCCCCTCATCTGTGGTAGTGATGATGACCGAGCCAACCTAATGTGGAAGCGTTACCTGGAGCGAGAGGACAGCAAGATTGTGGGTATGGAATGGAGCAAAGCAATGAAGGAAAATTAGTGCATGTGAGGGGTACAGGCTTGGGAGAAAAAAATTGATACTATCAAGGGGTGTGGGAACAGGACTGAATGATAAAAATGTGAAATAGTATGAAGTTTGTTGGGATTGTTGGTAGTGGGACAGGAAGGGTCAGGCAAAGGGGTGGGAAGAGATGGAAATCCAAGAAATCATCTCAGCCATCCAACAGTGACTTTTTTTCTCCTGCTCCTTTGCTTCTGTCTAGACCTGTTTGTGGGCCAGTTGAAAAGTTGTCTCAAGTGCCAGTCCTGTGGGTATCGCTCCACGACCTTCGAGGTTTTTTGTGACCTGTCCCTGCCCATCCCCAAGGTGGGATTCCAGAGTATTCCAGGGGTGGATGGGACACGGGTTCTGTGACCCAACCCTACCCACCCCCAGAGTATGGGAGGGAACCCTGTGGGTCTGGAGCAGAATTGAAGCCTAGATTGATTGAGAAGAGTTGGAAAAGGAAATTGTGAACATACTGACCCTTCTTTTCTCTTTCCCCCCAGAAAGGATTTGCTGGGGGCAAGGTTTCTCTGCGGGATTGTTTCAGCCTTTTCACCAAGGAAGAAGAGCTAGAGTCGGAGAATGCCCCAGTATGTGGGGGTTCACAAGGGATATAGTAAGGGCAGGGAAGCTGGGGGAACTCCATATGGATAAAAGGGGTTGTGTGATGCCTTAGGTTGGGGAATAATATTTCTATGTCTGGGTTTGTGTTGGAGTCTCAGACATGTCCTAGTACTCTTAGGGCAAGGGGAGTGACCCAAAGGGTACAGAAGTAATGGGGGGAATACTATCTAATAAATTTGTATGTGGATAAGAGTGTCAGAAAAGTCCACTGCGGTGAGGAACACATTAACCTAACACTATTTGGCATTTATTCAGGTGTGTGATCGGTGTCGGCAGAAAACACGAAGTACCAAAAAGTTGACAGTACAGAGATTCCCCCGAATCCTCGTGCTCCATATCCTAATCCTCAAATTCTTACCTCTCTTTGGATACCTCCCATAAATTCTCTTTCCTCACTTTCCATGTTTGCAAAGGCTGGCCACTTGAAAATTGAATTTTCCTTAGGAAAAGTCTGCCACCCCACCTTTCCCCACACTGCTCCCCGTGTGCGTTGAGGGAGGGGAGAGGACAGCCTTCAGGACCGAAGACTCTCTCAGAGGCCCTCTGCCTCCCAAATGCTCCTTAACCAGGGCTTAGATCTGAATCGCTTTTCCGCCTCCCGAGGCTCCATCAAGAAAAGTTCAGTAGGTGTAGACTTCCCGCTGCAGCGACTGAGCCTAGGGGACTTTGCCAGTGACAAAGCCGGTGAGTCTGGTGGGGAAGGTCCTAAGGAGCCCTGGGATGGGGGGGGGGTGTCGGGGGCACAGCTCTAATTGTAGAACCTAATCATCTCTAACCTCACAGGAAGCCCTGTATACCAGCTGTATGCCCTCTGCAACCACTCTGGCAGTGTGCACTATGGCCACTACACAGCTCTGTGCCGGTGTCAGACGGGCTGGCATGTCTACAATGACTCTCGGTGAGAACAGACCCCTGTTCAACTCCTGCCCCATTCCCACTGCAGCCCTTCCCTTCTAAGAAGCCCCAGGAGAGCGGAGCGTCAGGTATAAGGAGGGGTGGAGGCTCTCCTGCTCGCTTCCTGGATGCTCTGAGGTTGAGTCTTGTGGGGAGGAGGGAATACACAGGAATGACCACAACCCTTTCCCCATCTCCCTTCTTTCTAGTGTCTCCCCTGTCAGTGAAAACCAGGTGGCATCCAGTGAGGGCTACGTGCTGTTCTACCAACTGATGCAGGAACCACCCCGGTGCCTGTGACACCCCCTTTGAGCCCTGGCACCTGTGAAACCCTTTCAACACCCTTAATCCCCAGGCTCCCCACTTACCTCAGAGACGTCTATTTTTGTGTCTTTTTAACCGGGGAGGGGGGAGGGGTGGTTGTAGCTCCCATTATTTTTTTTATTAAAAAGTACCCTTCCACCTGGAAAGCTCCCTTGTCTCCCAGTCTCATGTACAGAGCTCACCAGGCCCCTGCCCATGTACAGCCCCAGACCCTCTACAGTCTCACTTTTTGTGAATAAATTTATTAAGAAAAAGTGATGTGCTTATTTGTGTTTGTGCTTAGGGGGTGATGATACAGAACCGGGCTGAACTGGAGTCTTCCTGGGACCCAGTTTCCTCTCTGAACAGATGGGGGCGCTCTTAGAGCCAGGGGACAGGTTTCCGGGATGGTGCTGGATCCGGACATGTGTGCCCAAACAGTGAAGGTTTAGTATTGGGAGGAAAGAGAGGAAGGCAAATTTGAGACGAGTTCAGGCACTGGGGCGACGGGGTTTTGCCGACGATGGGGGCTGCCCCTCGAGGACAAGACACCCAAGAACCCCTGTTGACAAACACTGGATACGTTGCCGGGCGGCCCTAGCTCCCGTAGGCCCTGTCTGTTGCTAACCAAGGAGCTGTTTATGGAGCCGCTTCCCAGCGGACCGGCCTCCAGTGCCACTATCTACTCTCCCTACAACCAAAGCTCCTGGGGCCCTCCCTCCAGGGTTCTCACCCTTGCTGGGCCTGGGAAGCTTGAGCTGGGGAATGCTAACTCCAGGATTAAGCTCTCGCCGCCTCGGCCCTGGGGAGGGCAGTGCCATCTACGACCGCTTACTCCAATTTGGCACTGAAGCGGTTAATCTCCAGCCCCAAAGAGCAGCCTCTTGCCGCTGCCTTCCCTCCTCCCGGCAGAGCCAGGGCCCCCTGCCAGTTTAGTGTTTTCATTGGTGAACGTCATCCGGGGCCTTCCAAGACCCACCAATTCAGAAGCAGGAAGGATAGGGTCATGCGCGTGCCGCGAGAACAGTGTGGACGGAAAGTCGGAGAGACCGAAAGGGTTGGGGGCAGGAGAAGCGGGTTCGAAGCGCTGATTGGCCTAGTGAATAATGGGGAGTCAAAGCGCCTCAGAAGTCCCGCAGCCAGCCTGTCGCCTGAGCCCTGCGGGAGCAGATAGCGTGGGTGTGGCCCTTATCTGCACCCAGCGAAGTGCCCGTGGAGTAAGGTCTTAGCACTTAGACCTCCTCTTTCTTCCTCATTTTCTCTCATTTCTCCCTACCTGTCGTGGGTGAGTCCTGGCCCCTGGGCAGGAACCTCACTGTTCCACTAGCCCATCCGCGCGCACTGCCTTAGTTTCCCCTAAAGCAGTGAGTAGCCGGGCGTGGAACACAGGGCCAGCGGGGCTTCTGGAGTGCAGGGTGTCCCCCAGTCTGCCTGTCCATATTGTCCCCTTTCCCCCACGTTTCCCAATGAGCCGGACCGTGGTCGTGCTGGGCGGAGGCATCAGCGGCTTGGCTGCCAGTTACCACCTGAGCCGGGCCCCTTATCCCCCTAAGGTGAGTACCCCACCCGTGCCGGAGGGAGCCTCATTTAATATTCTTCTCTCATTTCCATCGAAAGCTGGATGGACCCTGGCCCCCCAAATGCGCCGCCCCTTCTTCCCCTGACCTCTCGCCCGCGGCTACAGATGGTGCTGCAGTGTCTCCCTTTTGTCGCCAGGTGATCCTGGTGGAGGGCAGCGAGCGTCTGGGAGGCTGGATTCGCTCAGTCCGAGGGCATGATGGTGCTATTTTTGAACTTGGACCTCGGGGAATTAGGCCCGCGGGAGCCTTGGGAGCCCGGACTTTGCTCATGGTGAGGGCCTTGTGGAATGTCTGGGAGAGGTTGTGGAGGGGGCTTTCACTAGGGGATAGAGTTTAGGGGAGGAAGTATATTCTGGTGGGTCAGACCTTTCCTTAGTTTCTCCTCTTCCTGAGGGCTGATGGAGAGTAGGTTTCTGAACTTGGCTTGGACTCAGAGGTGTTGCCTGTCCGGGGAGACCATCCAGCGGCCCAGAACAGGTTCCTGTATGTAGGTGGTGTTCTGCATCCCCTACCCACTGGCCTCAGGTAACACCATCACCTTCTTACTGCACATGTTTCTACTTTTCCCTCATCCTCACATCTTTTCCATTTTTTCACCCCCTGTCAGCCCTCTCAGCAAAAGGGGGCCAAATGAATGGAAATGACCCCCTGGTGCTAGAGAGATAAATCAGGAATTCCCTCCTCACTATGCCTTCCTCCACGCAGGGGGCTCCTCCGCCCTTCACCCCCCTTCTCCAAACCTCTGTTTTGGGCTGGCCTGAGGGATCTGACCAAGCCCCGGGGCAAAGAGCCTGATGAGACTGTGCACAGTTTTGCCCAGCGCCGCCTTGGACCTGAGGTGACACTGCTCAAAGGCCCCAAACATCCCCCTAAACCAGCTGCAGAGCCCTCTACTTAAAGCTACCACCTAGGGGCTCTTCTGTATCATTTGGGCATGCCCATCTCTTCATGCCTCTCCCATAATTCCCAAAACTCAGTGTTGGGGGTGAATGCCTTCACTTCCTTCTCATCTTCCTGTTATAGTGGGAATGCCCCCAAACCCAAACTCTACCCCACCCCCATTCCCTATCAAGCAGGGGCAGTAGAAATCAGTCAGTGCAGCTTATTCCTTGGCCTCTCAGTCCCTGTCTCACCCTTAAGGTGGCGTCTCTAGCCATGGACAGTCTCTGCCGTGGAGTGTTTGCAGGCAACAGCCGTGAGCTCAGCATCAGGTCCTGCTTTCCCAGTCTCTTTCAAGCTGAGCAAACCCATCGTTCCATATTACTGGGTCTGCTGCTGGGAGCAGGTGAGGAGGGGATTGGTTCAAAGGTGAAGATCTTAAGGACTGCCAAAGTGAGGGACTTGGGATGAAGGGTGCTTTTTTTCTCTCACTTTTTTTGAGACAGGGTCTTGATCTGTCACCCCAGGTAGAATGCAGTGACATAGCTCACTGCAACCTCAAACTCCTGGGCTCAAGTGATCATCCTGCCTCAGCCTCCCAGTAGCTGGGACTACAGGCCCACACCACCACACACAGCTAATTTTTTCTGTTTTTAGTAGAGACGGGGTCTCGCTCTTGCTCAGGCTGGTCTTGAACTCCTGAGCGCAAGCGATCCTCCTGCCTCAGCTTCCCAGAGTGCTGGGGGCCTAAGAGGTGCTATTTTGATGATTCTTCTTTGCTTCCTCTTCAGGGAAGAGCCCACAGCTAGACTCAACACTCATTCGCCAGGCCCGGGCCGAGCGCTGGAGCCAGTGGTCACTCCGTGGAGGTCTAGAGATGTTACCCCAGGCCCTTGAAACCCACCTGACTAGTAGGGGGGTCAGTGTTCTCAAAGGCCATCCAGTCTCTGGGCTCAGCCTCCAGGCAGAAGGGCGCTGGAAGGTAGGAGAGTCCCCTGGAGTATAATGAACCTGTCATTGTTTCTGTATTTGTCTAAGTGGCTTAACCAGGCCAGGGCTGATAGGACTGGAGTTACTCATTGTTTTCCTGTTATAGAAGCTATTTAGACATGGGCTATCCCAGGGTCCTAGGCCTTATTTGTGGACCTTCTTCAAAGACCCCCCCCTTTTTTTTTTTTGAGACAGAGTCTGTGTTGCCCGGGCTACAGTGCCATGGTATCAGCCTAGCTCACAGCAACCTCAAACTCCTGGGCTCAAGCAATCCTACTGCCTCAGCCTCCCGAGTAGCTGGGACTACAGGCATGCGCCACCATGCCCGGCTAATTTTTTCTATATTTTTTTTAGTTGGCCAATTAATTTCTTTCTATTTTTAGTAGAGACGGGGTCTCGCTCTTGCTCAGGCTGGTCTCGAACTCCTGAGCTCAAACAATCCGCCCACCTCGGCCTCCCAGAGTGCTAGGATTACAGGCGTGAGCCACCGTGCCCGGCCTCAAAGACCCCTTTGATACAAATCTGTGGATAGAAGTAGTGCTTCTAAGTGGCTCAGGGATAGGGGAAAGAACCACCCAGCTTCACTGAATATTTCAGAGCAGCCACAGTGGCTTCTCTCTGACCCACTTCCTAGAGTATCTAGAAGAGTGATTTTTGTGCAGTCTATGTAGTCACCCAGTCTCTCCTGCCACTTGGGTGCCTGGGAAACTCAGACTGAAGCAGCAAGTCTCACTTCATCCATAAAATTCTCATTATCTGTGTCTCTTATGTTTTCACCCTCTCAGGTGTCTCTAGGGGACAGCAGTCTGGAGGCTGACCACGTTATTAGTGCCGTTCCAGCTTCAGGTAATGGAGTAGCCACTCTCCCCAACCAGTGTGAGGCAATAGCAATACCTCCCTGGGCCAGCAGGACCACATATGCCCCTGAACTGGTCATGCCTACAGGAGTCTAATCCCAAAGAGGACTGATGAAACTAGTGTGAATGCCTCCTGAATCAGGCCTCTGCCTGATCTCTTCCAGTGCTCAGCAAGCTGCTCCCTGCTGAGGCTGCTCCTCTGGCTCTTGCCCTGAGTACCATCGCTGCTGTGTCTGTAGCTGTGGTGAATCTGCAGTACCGAGGAGCTCGTCTGCCTGTCCAGGTATGATACAGAGGGGAAGGGGAGACATGGGCTTAGCTGGAGCCCTTCGCTCCTGACCTGTGGATTTCCTTCTCCCCAGGGATTTGGACATTTGGTGCCGTCCTCAGAAGACCCAGGCATCCTGGGAATCGTGTATGACTCAGTTGCTTTCCCTGAACAGGATGGGAGCTCCCCTGACCTCAGAGTGACTGTGAGAGGAGGAAACAACTTAGTGGGGTTTCCAAAGGGCTCCTCTGTGTCCCAGTATAGGCAAAGCCAAGACTGGTTGGTGTTGTATTCCCTCCCTAGGTGATGATGGGAGGTTCCTGGTTACAGACACTGGAGGCCAGTGGCTGTGCCTTATCTCAGGAGCTGTTCCAACAGCAGGCACAGGAAGCAGCTGCCACACAATTAGGACTGAAGGAGCCACCAAGTTACTGCTTGGTCCACCTACACAAGGTGAGTTGGGGTAAACTCCCCTCAGCTCTTCATTGAAAGCCTTGAAGGCAAGGACTGGTATATTTGTCACTGTCTGTCAACCAAGGCCTGGGACATCAATAATAAACTTTTCCTTGCATCTTCTCCTTTCTACCCAGAACTGCATCCCCCAGTATACACTAGGCCACTGGCAAAAACTGGGTAAGTTGGGAAAGCAGCTGGGTGGAGGAGGGTCAAGGAAATGAGACCCCCAGCTATCACAGTCCTTTCATCTTTTCCTTCCAGAGTCAGCTAGGCAGTTCCTGGCGGCTCAGAGGTTGCCCCTAACTCTGGCTGGAGCCTCCTATGAGGGGGTTGCTGTTAATGACTGTATAGAGAGTGGGCGCCAGGCAGCAGTCAGTGTCCTGGGCACAGAACCTCACAGCTGATCTCCAACTCTCAATCATGAAAATAAAAATTGCTGGAGCTTGGTTTGGTCTGGCTGTTTGTCACCTGTGGGCGTAAGAGTGGAGGGGAGTAAAGAGAGACAAAGTGTGCCTGGGATGCAGAAAGCAGGAGCAGAGGCAAGACAACAGAGTCCTTTATTAGAAAATATATCAAAATCCTACCCCCCTGAGCCAGGACCAGAGAGGGAGCTACTCCAGCACTGGCAGAAAGTACCCAGGGAGGGGCTTCCTTCACCAAACAACTTCCCAGGAGAAGCCAGATCACTCTTCTCTCCATGGAAGAAGAAGGGGCTTGGGGTCCAGCCCGTCACATAAAATCATGACATCAAGGATTCACAGTCATAAGCCCTGCAGGAGACCCTTGAAAGAGGGACCCCCCAGGTCTAGAGGAGCCCAGCTCCAGTCCAGCAGTGAGGAGAGGCCCCTGCCCCCCCAGTATAGCACTAGAGTTCAGTTCCCCCACATCCCTCTAAGAGCAGTGAGGAGCTGGGGGGTGGAGACAATACAACCCCTCAGATTCAGTTTCATGATTAAGGTGGGTAGGAAGGAGGAGTCAGCGTGAACCACGGAGGGCTGTGTGGTTGGCAGTAGGTGGAGGGCCAGGCCTGGCTGGGGGCCGCCGCTGCAGCATCTCTTGACGGAAGGCCTGGGAAGAACCAGGTGGGTAACGGGGACCAGAGGGAGCCCGGGGACCCCGAGGGTCAGTCCCAATGTCTGCTGTGACGTTGGTATAAAGAGGACCCAGCTCTCGAGCCAGCAATCGGTATGTCAGTGAGTTCATCCCATCTTGTGTCCAGGAATTCTGGGTACGGACCAGGAGGTCAAATCTGAGGGTTAGAGGTTGGAGACTAAGACCAGAAAGGAATAGCCAGGAATTTAAGGACCGTTAGGAGTTTCCTGGCTAGGGGAACAGAACCCTGAGGATCCAGTAACAATTCCTAGGCAGTCCTTCCTTCCTACCTGTGGGGATTTTCCTCGTTGCCCTTATCTCCTCGGTGTTTCACCATCTTATAGTGTCCCACAGATGTGGGGGGCCGAGAGATCTTCATCCCAGCCAGGCGCACCCTGTGAGAAAAAGGAGGGAATCTTGGCGGATCCAGAGTGGAGGAAAGCTGCTCACAGGTGAACAAGAAGAGCTAAGGCCAGAAAGGAAGGGACTACATGTTTCCATACACAAAGAACAGTTATTACTAGTGAGGCAAAAAAAGTGCCAAGTACCAGGGAGGGAGGGAGGGGGAGCCAAACAGAAAGACAGAAATGGCTGAAGAGAATGTGAAAGCTGGACATATCCAAATCCCCAGGGCCCGGTGCCAGCACCCTGGGGCCTTTAAACAATCGACAGCGGTAGGTTTGTGCCTCCTCCCTTTGCTTCCTAAATGGCTCCCAGGAGCTGCCCTTGCAGTCTGGGAAGGACAGGGAGACAGGGCATTTTGTCAAAAGGATAAGACAAGACTGGGAGTTGCAGCCCAAAGCTCAGCGATTCTTATTTAGAATAGTGGCTGAGCTCCCCCGACTTCTCTCCCCCTGCCTCCCTGTGTTAAGAAAAGGGTAGAACCAGGTACTGAGGGCTTTGAAAGAAATAAACTCCAACTCTGACACACACAAGCAAGGAATAAAGATGGCCTGGGAAGGAATTGCAAAATACACATTTAGAATTTGCTGGGTGCTTTACACACATACAGAGGATGAGAATTCACATAGTAATGTCATCCCAGAGGACACAAGAGGGAGGGGAGGCAATTCGTCCAGCATACCAAGCCCAAATACTCACACCAGACATCAAATTGGGTCAGCTGAGGCTGAAGGTCAGAATGTTTCTCATGCTAAAACATAGCTGGCATCATGCCAATGGCATAGACCCCCCCCCTTTTTTTTTTTTTTAAATGAAGTGATTCTGGGCTACATGGAGTGGAGCCCCTCTCCCCATCCCCATAGAAAGTAGTCTGGATGCAACCCTAGCAGAAGATGGGACTAAACTATCTCTACGCCCCTTTTGAGCTCTGGGATCCCATGACACTATTTCCTATTGGTCTATCTCTTTTCCTAGGAATATAACTAACCAGATCTAGGAGACTGAAGGATGACAGAATGGGCAGTAGCTTGCAGAGCCTGACCTGGTATACTGAAAAGATTAAGGGAAAGGAATGGGCTCAGTGTAGGACCAGGGAGCTAAAGTTAGTGTTGAAGTCTATGGCAATGGATGGTCTTAGAAGACAAGGTTCCAGGCAGGGGTAGGGAGGGAGGTGGTAGCAGGAAGTCTGACCTGGTAGCAATGTCGTCATCCTCACCACCCCAGCCCCAGTATTCATTGGGGAAGCCATTCATCTTCAGGTACTGGTCAGGAGTGAGCGCTGAGACCCCTCCAAAATACTGGGGGTACGGGAGGCTAGGGAGAGAAAGATCCTTGCATTCCACAAGTCTTCTGGAGACATTCCCACCCATAATCCCCCTGGCTCTCCTTTCACTGGATGGTGGGTTTCCCTCCTTCCCAGCACCCTTCCATGCCCTCTACCTGTATCCAAACTTGTTCATGGCAACAGCAACATGGCGGGGTCCCCGAGGGTCACACACATACAGATTGTGGTCATTTTCTGGCAAGAGGTCCACATCATGCAAGAACAGGCAGTCCCACTCTTCATCACGCAGAGCCTCCCGCACCCCTACGTTCAGCAGCTTTGCCCTGTTAAATGTTCCATTTCCAGCCTGGAAGATAATAGAGGCAGACCAGACTATGTTTATAGGTAGCATGGAAAAGAGGGGGCCAAAGGATAAAAGTGAAAAGACGGAAATCAAAGTGGGATGCAGGGCCAGGCACGGTGGCTCATGCCTGTAATCCTAGCACTCTGGGAGGCGGGTGGATTGCTCAAGGTCAGGAGTTCGAGACTAGCCTGAGCAAGAGCGAGACCCCGTCTCTACTAAAAAATAGAAATGATCTGGACAACTAAAAAAAATATATAGAAAAAAAATTAGCCGGGCATGGTGGCACATGCCTGTAGTCCCAGCTACTCGGAAGGCTCAGGCAGAAGGATTGCTTGAGCCCAGGAGTTTGAGGTTGCTGTGAGCTAGGCTGACGCCACGGCACTCACTCTAGCCCGGGCAACAAAGCGAGACTGTCTCAAAAAAACAAACAAACAAAGTGAGATGCAAGTCAAAGAAAAGAGAAAAACAAACTACCTTTTTCATTTTTTCATTTAGTCATTCAACAAGTTTTTCTTGCATATCAGTGCCTGATATTTACATGCTCCTGTTTAGCGTTTAATCCTGACAGCCAACAACCATGTGAAACAGATGGCACATTAGTTATCTAATGCTTTCTGCCTTGTTTTGGAGGGTTAAGTATCTTGCCCTCTATTTGTTACATGTCACACATGTAACAAATGGCAGAACTAGAATTTTAGCCCAAATGTGTCCAATTCCAAATTTGCACAAGCCACTCAACAAAGGAAAAATCATGGAAGAATATGACAGTGGAATACCCTAAACAGACTGAGAAGGCCAACAAGTTTGGAAGAACAGGGCCGGGTGCTTCTTCACATTCAACAGTCTGGCCTTCTTAAAATTATTCTAAGGACCCATCAGTTGAGACTGGAGTGGCATTTGCTTGAAGCTTCCATATGAGAAAGAGTTAGGTGGGGATTGGGGGTACCTGGTGGATGACATAGATTCCATAAGCAAGCTGCTGGCGCTGTAAGAAGGGGTGCAGGTGGTAGAGCAGCAAGCGCAGGTGGTGCTCCCGGGCACGATGGGGCACAATGATGGCTGTTCGAGAGCGTGGTTCACATCCTGCAGGGCGGTATCGGCCCCCTGGTTCCACCCGGGGATTCCTCTCCACAATCTCTGCCAGTGATGGCACTGGGCTAAAGGATACTGACACAGGACCCACTGTCAGAAAGGAATGGCAAGTTCAGGGATTAGAGGGGCAACGAGAAAAGAATGAACACCATGGCCTAGGAATACCTCCGACCCTTGCAGTCTGGTTCTGACACTCAGTTCCCCCGAGGGCTCAACCAGAAATCTCACAAGCCTTGGGTCCCCCATCACTGGGACAACTCTACAAAGCCTGGAAGGTGCGGGCTCCTTCCCTAGCCTACCTTTTTTATTTTAGAGTATCGTAATCTCCTGTCTCACAAGGTTGGAAGCTACGGTTGGGGGATGAAGAGAACAGGACTTCTAGCTAACTAAACCAGGTCTCATCTACAAGGAAAACAATTCCTAACCATGGGCAGGAAAAGCCCATAAATGGGCAGGCAATGAAAAGCTGTGGCCCAACCCAAGAGCCTAGTCTGAATTCCAAATTCAGAGGCTATCTCAACCTCAGCCCACCTTCAGGGGACATTATTCTCCTCTTCTAAGTCCCACTCCATGCCTTCCCAAGCCTCCCTGCCCTAATACTTTGTCCTTTCCTTCACCTTCTTTCTCCTGCACTCACCTAAGAGAGGAGATCTTTCTGGACAGTAGGGCAGACCTTGAGGAGCTGGAGGACCCCCTGGGGCAACAGGGGCCCCAGGCAGGTGACTGAGGTTACTGTAGACATCACGGGGATGAGAATAGTCAAATGTCGGCCCCTGATCTCGGCCAAATAGGGCACTGAGGCTTCGGAAGCCCCCCAGTGACAGATACATCATGACAGCCAGCTGGGAGCCCACAAGCAGGGCCAGCGTGCAGGGCCGCTCCAGCAGCCTCCGCAACATCCTGGGGTGAGGTCTGGGGAGGGAGAGAGGGGGGTTCTGGGGGTAGGCGGGAAGAGAGCAAGCCAGCAGGGAGATCAGCAGTAGGGATGAAGGTGGTGCCAGGGGTAAAGAAGAAAAACAGGCAGAGAACAAAGTCACAGAAGGGAGCACACATGTGTACAGTTGCGCAAGGAAGCAAAATAGAATGTAACCACTAGGAGCCCTACCACCTGTCACTTCAGCCCAAGTTTCACTTTCCTCCCCCTCCCCCCAAACCACACCCACCATCTACTCTCAAGTCCCCACCCCCCAAGAATGCTTACATCATTTAAGTCCCATGTTCATTTCAGTAGAG